GAAACAGTATGTATTTGATCGAACCCCTGTGTACTTTGAGTAATCCTTGAGTTTCCTTGATTTTCTTGCATTCTTAAATTGCCCTGATTTTCTTGTATTCTTAAATTGCCCTGATTTTCTTGTATTCTTAAATTGCCCTGATTTTCTTGAATCCTTGAATTTCCTGGTGTACGGTTATATTCTGGCGTAGTTTCATTAGGTATTTGATTTTCTTGTCTCTGAGATTGTGTTGGTCTACGGATAAATGGAGAAGGGGGATTCGCTATTAAACTTTCCTGATCCATATATTGTCTTTTTTCTAAGACATCAATAGACAATGTAGATGCAGCATCTGCCACATGAGTCTCCTGAACCTCCATGTCAATTTCTTTAGTCTCCTTCCTTTCTGATTTACGTTTTTCTTTATTTATTGGTTTCTTTGAAATTCGTTTTGCACAAAACCATACAAGAAGACCAAGAACCACCTGTTGACCGATCATGCAAATTCTTTAAAATATTAATGTTTTCAAAATTCATTATTAAAAAAAAAAATCTTTCAAAGAATCTCATACCAAAATAATCTCTTGAGTTCCAAATACCACAAGACCTGCATATATATCAAAGTTCGCTTTACGTTCACAGTTTATATCGTCAGAATCATCACTTGCGATACAAGAATCAACCGTATTGCTTTTCATCGTAAAAGAAAGGATTATCTTTACAACATCAATGATCGTCAGGACAAAAACAGAGAACCAATGATCACGCGCATAACGATTCATCAATAATGCATTGTTAGAAATAGCACCAAAAATTCCAAATAAACCCGAAGGAGCCACTATTATTTCGAAAACAGCATAGCCGATCAACAACGGTGTACTGAGATGATTTGCGGTGACTAAGAAAATCAAGAAAAGTCATTACTTGTAGAATGATCAATGTGATAAAGATTGTATTGACTTACAATTCAATCTTCTGAGAGTAACAACGGCAATGAATAAAGGATAAAGCTGATAGTTATTGAAGTGAAAAATTGAAAACAAGACTTTAGGAATGCGTACGAATAACCAAAAGTTCAAATAGTAAAAAAAAAAAAAAACATACAAGCAACAAAGTAGAGACAAAAAAAACACTAAAGCGAATTAAAACGCGCTGCATTGAAAAAAAAGTCTAAAGGGATTGATTCGTTAAATCAAGTTATTCGACACCTTAGTTTCTTTTAAGCGGAGAAACCGCGAATTTTGACCGACTTGTCGGGAATTTTTGACGGTGAGCTCGCGAAATTACTCCGACCTAGACCGAGAATCGTGTTCGTTATAAACGGACCAGCGTTTCTCAGATTGGCACTGCCAAAAAGTTAGCTTTTTTTGTCTGCGGCGGATACTAAAGTAAAAAGAGCAAAACACCGTACTGAACCGGTTTGGAAACCTAGGGGTAGAAAAGCAACGAAAACGTGAAGCTAGTGATTATATATAGAAATGAAAATATTCAAAAGGAAACGGGGAATGAAACAAGTTTCACAAAAATTCACTAAATTTCCCATTATTCTTAACAAACTTTCGACAATCTTTGTTTTCAAACAAAAATCACAAAAAATCAGATTGGGCAAGTTAAAGTTCTTCGTGAAACGCTACGATCAGTAATTTTTTAATTCATCCACAACATATATTAATAGCATCAAATATTTATATAAGTATTAATAGCAGCAAGATTTTTACCAATACATATTTCACGTGAAGCTTTTGACAATATTGACAATATCGACAATATCGACAATATGGGCGCAAAAATATTAATTGTTTTTATTGTAGACTTTCTCTTTTTTATCGAGCTATCGTGATAATAAACAAGATTGAAAATCGACTAATCAAAAAAAAGTTAAAATTATTTCTACATACAGAAAACATTCGGTAAGTTCAAGTAATGTTGATTTTTCTTTTTAAATACAATTCATTTAATTTTAAACTTTGTTTTTTCATTTAACTTTAGTCGGCCCTGGTACATACTTGTCTTAATGTTTTTATTTAACCTTAGCCCGTATTTTGTCTTAATGTGTTTGTTTAGTCTTAGTTGCCCTGTACTTGTCTTAATGTGTTCATTTAATTTAATCTTAATCGACCTATACTTGTACGTATTAATGTTGGCGTACGTAGAACTTTCCATTTACTCTTATTCATTTAAACAAATCAAGTTTTTAGGTACTCCTGATTAAAGTACGACATGTGAGCTTGTCTTGATTTGTCCAACATAAATTTTAGGTACGTATCTCTTATTATATCACCGTTTTTCGAAATTTTACGTTAAGAATACTTCCCGACCTTCATTTAGTGGAAAGAAATTGCAATATCATTTTTATGCTGTAAGATCATCTATTCCTTGGCATTATAACTCTTATTTTAATGATCAATTTTAAAATCGTACTACAGATTATATTCAGGGAGGTGTTGCATTCAGAACAGTGAGTGTTCTGCATAACTAAATTTTTATAATCAGAAATTAATTTAAAAATTGAAAAAACATGAATTTTAGGAATTGATATTATTGAAGTTAATAGATTTTTTATTATTGATGTTAGTGATAAGATGTTTCAAATTAATCGTTCATGAATTCTCGAATTTATTTCTAAGCTACAGAGTGTGGATTCTCGGAAATTCTCTTTTGCCGACCATAGGGAGACGCAACAGCTACATATTTGTTATACGTACATATGCTGCGAGCCCTGAAAATTTGTTTTTAATCAGTCATACCGGAATCATTTTATCATTTATATAATAATATTGATCAACCATTTTAAGAAGCATCTGCATACGTACTGCATACGTACGTACGTACGTACGTATCATCATTTCACATCCTCAATAAGGAAAAACACTAATGTTAACGTGTTTTAAAGTTAACGTTTGGTCAAATAAAATTACAGCAATTTTATGAAATTTATTATCCTTTATTACACTATGTTTATGAAGGTAAAATTACATTATACTCATTATACGTACGTAATATTAATTTGTTAACCAATTATTATGTATTTAAGGTAAAGTTACATTACACTCATTATAACATTAATTTGTTAACCAATCAATATTAATACATTAATATGTATTAATTAAACTGCATAGATCGCCTATCTCTTCAATAAAATGTATATATTATCAACCGATTATAAAGTGGGATTATCTATACTGCAAAGAGATCTAACTGCATTAATAAATTATCAAATAACAAAAAGGAAATAATATAATGATTATATATTATTTCATTTATCTAAGGTATAGAGAAGTAATTTGCGAAGATTTATCAAAATTCGCCAATAGTAAACTTTCATTAAAATGTTATTACAAAATTTTATTTCAAAGTAATATCTATTTAAATTCTAAAATCAATAAGTTGACTATTTGCTAAGTGACATCACAGTCGGGAGGTAAAGTGGCGGATCAGCAAATTAACAATAAACGGGAATAATTTGCATTGTGACCATAACGCTCAGTATTTTACAATCCATTGGTCAGAATCGAAAATTATTCGATGAGACGAATCGATTGTTATAAGAATCATTAGATCCCAGTTGATAAACCAAGCTTTAACTTCAATAATATGTTATCCGCCACATTACCCACCCCGCCAGAATATCCCTCTACCTTATATTTCACGTAAACCATTTTACATATCAGATATCTAGTTTCAAACGTATGTAAAATTTATATCAAAAAATGCTGACTTATTTTGATATGAAATTTTAAAAATTTTTGGAGTACATTTTTTTTGGTTTTTTTTAAGGTTATGATTCATGGTTATAAAAGAGTATATATATGTGGATTTTAGTAGGTTTAGTGGACTCAAATTGAGACCCCAAATCTCAGTACCAACCAATCTCGGCACAGCCTCGACATTTATTATTGAAAAGAAATTATAATTTTGTTTTCAAGCTAGAGGCTCATTGTAGCAAATTAAATAAAGTAAAATTTGTTCTATTTTAATTTGAAAATTATAGATCATGGTAAAATTTTTGGTGCATGTTTTTAGGTTTTTAGAGTTTAGAATCAGGATATTAATAAAAAAGTGGGGTTTAAATGCTTAAAAAGGGTCAAAATTAAGTCGTACCAAATTAATAAATTAGTTTTCATAACCCGGCCGGGTCAAAAATTTGAAAACTTGAAGCAAATTTTATTTCACTAACAAACCGGATCTTTTAAAAAAAATTCTATAGAATTTTATAAAGTTTTTTTTTTATATACATATAAAATTAAAAAAAAAAAAAAAAAAAAGCCAGCTGGCCGGTCTGTTTTAAAATCTTACGAAAACAAAGTAACTTTGTATGGTCCCAATACCAAAAATCTTTTTACAGTATATACTATATCTCTTAATTTGTAAACTATTCCAGATAAATTTGCCTAAAAAATATATAAATTTACTTTGATCTATTTTTAGGTGAAGTTTTTGGGAGCGCTGAACATTTTTATTTAGTACATCTGGCATTAGTTGATTTGTTTTCGAGATATAGCAACTGTGGTGTTAGCACCACTGGTGTGATTTAGTAAAACCGATAATTACAAACCAAAAATTATTATACCATAAATCTTTATAAGTTGAACTAAGAATAATAAAAATGTATTGAAATAATTTTTTGTAATTTTTTAACAAGTTGAAACAAATACAATTCTTTATTAATAAGCATAACATTTCACTATTGCATATCTTAACAACTTTCAAAGAAAGAATCTAATGGAAATTTCCAAACAATTCTTTCTCGAACCCAGTAAACCCTTGAGTCTCTTTTTTGGTATTAGTATTGTTCCAAATGAGATCTTTCTCTGCATATCTTTGAGTCTCTTTATTATTATTATTATTGCCCCAAATGAGATCTTTTTTTGCACATGTTCTTGAACAATACGAATGGCTAATACCGGATGGCTCGATGAAGCAGGGTTTATCACACTCTTGGATTTTGCAAGTTCGATGAAAGGTTGGAAATGCTGTATAATTCCTTCCTTGACGGTTATCCAAAAAGTTGGTATTGAATACACGTGCGCACGCTATTCCACAAAAAGGATGCATAAAACTAATTACAAACATTAAATATTAAAGTTCTGTACTATATTATTCTCCTAATGTAAAAATGTGAGAAAAGGATATACCCATTTTTTTCAACATAAACAGGACGTTCGCATCCTCGAGCTTTGCAGGTTACCAGTCTGTCGGAATTTACTATATATTTTAATTATCCAAAATTGCGTTAAAAAGGTTAAAAATAAAAAAATATCTAAACACTTAATAATAACATACAATAAGCCATTTGATGCTTTTCAAGTTGATTTTTTAGAGAACACCTGAAAACTGTTCTACTTTTATCTTGAAATACATTCGTATGATCTCATCGTCATTCACTCATATGGCACTCTTGACTCACGATTCTCATCAAATAATATAAATGAATCATAGTCTAATTATTGCTAAACAATAAGGCAAATTTAACAGAATTTTCATTAAATTAGAGTCTAATTATTGTTAGACAGTAAGGTAAAATTCATTAATAATAAGGATGATTTATTGGTTGATTTTAATATCACTGACTTGGTATTGCGAAAATGATAGATACTCTATCATATTAAAATATTTATTAATGGGTTTGCAGATTAGAACAGTAATAATATTTAGAGCTCGAATAATTTAGATCAGCAAATATTTACTCGAATGTTCG